GGAATAGATATCCTTACGGTCATGAGGAGCTTGCTGTTTGCGAGGATATAGATCAGGTATTTAATGGGTTTAGTCATGTTCTAATGTCCATGATGAGATTTGTTTGCGTTTTCTCACCATCTCACGATCCAACACATCAAGATGCCTTTTATCTTGTTTTTGATAGCGAAGCTAAATCCTCGCACTCATCTCCCACTAAATATACAGATTATTCAAATGAACAGCATAAATAAGGAAGTATTGTCACCAATCAAATTGCTAAAATTTCATTAACTGATAATTGATTTAAAATTTCTTGAAATTTTCCGAGGGATGCTCAAAGACCTATAGCCTGCTCTTGGTTACAGTGCCTACCTGCTCTTATTCCTTTTTTCCAACACTTCTAGGTTCGTTCTGCCATGGAAAAATATCCTCCTCCTTATCAGTCCATATTTTCCAAGTTATCCTATGGCGAGAGTCAGATGCTTGACAAGGCATTTTATGAAGAGGAGGTGAAACGGCTTTGCTTAGCATTTGAGCAGCAGGTTTGTTTCTCAGAACTTCCTGTCGAAAAGTTATCACTGTGCTTCTAGGAGGAATGAGCCTAATTACTGTTGCATCTACAAGAAATGTCTTAGATTTGTCTGCTTGTTTGTGGTGTCATATTACAAAAATCTCATAATCCTTGTTTATTTGGCTATGCAGTTCCATTATGGGGTGTTTTTTGCATACATGAGGTTGAAGGAGCAGGAAATCAGGAACTTAATGTGGGTATCTGAATGTGTTGCACAGAACCAAAAGTCCCGAGTGCATGATAGCGTTGTTTTTATATTTTAATTGCTTCAAAGCTATTTTACAAAAAATTCCGCCGCCTGCCCTTAACATCTTTCTGTAAATTTTGTTGCATTTCAGTCCCTTTGTCTTTGCTCAACCTTAAGTTTATAATAAGTTGTGTGATTGCTATGTTAGTTGGAAGGAGAAATCTTTCACAGACATCAATTAATTCATGTCAATTTATTCTTCTGATGTGCAATAAAATATCTGGGGTATGCAATAAAATATTTGGGGTGTACATTACAGTGTCTTTTTACTTTTGTTTTATCATTCCCTTGAGTGGAAAATTACTACGTTTTGAACAAGCACTTGCCACTATGAAGAAGAGTATAAATTCTAACACGAAACTATAGTTATTAACCTCAGGTCGACTATGGACTCGACTATGATACCAGTTCATATTCCATCCAAGTAGTCGAGGACAGGGAACATGGCCTCCAAGAAATGAAATATTTCAATCTGTCTCCAAGGATTCTTGTACTCAAACATGAAAAATAAAAATAAAGAATTGCATTATTTATTCGCACAATTCCATTTGTAACGAAAGTTATCCCTCCTCTTGCAATGCATGAGGGCTTGCGTGAATATTAAAAAAATAATAATAATAATAATTGTGCTTTCCACGCCTCCTATTGTGAGTAGTAGATAAAGAATTAGGTGAAAAAAAAAATTATATATATGTAGCATTATCCTATTTAATCTAGGGCATGTACAGCTGACCCTTGGACAAAAGGTCTAAGTCTAATGGTCTTTATTTCAATGTGAAATGTTTATTTATGAACGAAAAATAAATAGATAATCAAAGGAGTACTTAACTTCATATTTCCACAATGATGCTTAAAATAAAAATAAAAATTAAATTAAATTAAATTTTTTTTATGACTTAATTAATTAACTGATATTGATGTTTAATAATTAAAATCCGTACCAGCTTATAAAAATCGCAGATGAGATGGGTGGCAATTTATAAACTAAATTCTTGTCAAGTCAATGCTCTAACTAGTCTTTATTTTTTATAATATTATTTTCACTAAAAATAATTTTTCGTCTGTCAATCCTAAGAGATAGCTCAGTAATCAGGTCTTATGTTTGCTTCCCAGTGATCACCAGTTCCAGTCTCCTTACAGCCACTAAAGTGAGCACTAGATTATAAACTTCAGGGCCTTGTGAAATTAGTCAAGGTGAATGTAAATTGGTCTGAACACTCACGGTCATAAAAATAAATAATATTTCATTTGTCAACTATTCAATTATGCTTAAGCAGATCTCATATTTACTAATTTATTCAATGCCCCACCTAAGATAATTACCTAAACACAACAAAATATAGTGCAACTTGGCCTCGAAGTCTCCATGTAGTAAAAGCATTATACTAACCATTAATCACGTGAATATTATATGTTATGAATTATGTAAAGCCGAAGGCAAGTAAAGAACACGCATTTAAAGTAATATAATCTCAATACTAAAGCTAAATCCACTTTTTACCATAATATTTTCAATGTAATCTCATTTATATGGTGAGTTAATATTAGACAAATTTGATAAATGTGCTAACAACCTTACAAAATTAGAGAAGCAAACAATGCGCTTCTAATAAATTATTCAACGTGTTCAAAAGTAACTTTTTAGTTTCATAAGTAACTTTTAATTTTTAAAAGCCATATCAAAAGAACTCATAGGTCATTAAGTCATCAAAGGAAAACAAACAATATAATTAAACAGCACACAAGTAACGTTATATTGCTTAGAGAATAATGAACAGATGAGAGAGATACTAGAGTCACATTTCCTATTTCAAATGTAATGGAAGTTGAGACATCAAAATTAATGGATATCAAAAAAAATACATATTTTGGGAAAAGAGA